ACCCTACGAGATCGATGGATAGGATTAGATTTCAGTTCAAATATACTTGGTTTAGGTTTGATTAGACCAAAACTCGACATATGTTTGTCCCTTGAACCGTACATATTTTTTCTCAAATTATTTTTTATAACTACGAAGTATGTTATATCATACTATGTATATATTTTGTATTTTATGTAGCCATTTTATGTACTTCATATGATTTTTGACTCTAAATTATAATGCACTACTTACAAATTAAATATTTTAACATCAAAATATTGTTTTGCCCATCATTTAAGGACTATATATTGTTTTAACTTTCTATCCATCATAAAAATAAAAAAATAATATAAATGTTTTTTTTTTTTTTCCTTTTTGTCTATTAACCACAAGTCACAACCCTTGAGACCCTAACTTATCATTTTTTTTATTAACTATAACTTCCTGCAACTTTCAATATTGTTTCCAAGGTGTATTTTAATTTGTACATCATATGACATGTGCAACCAGGGTAAAATAAAAGGAATAAAAATGGCCATGCAAAATAGTTGGAAAGTAAGATGTTATGGATTAATCTAAAACCCATTTGGACTTTGGACCTAACACACCTAGTAAATGTTATACTCCCTCCGTTAAATATTATCTGCAATTTTTGCCATTATTGTCCGATCAGGGTTATGTGTAACTGTCTGTTTTGTTTCCATTTTTAGTAAAAAAAAAACCCTTAAAATTACTTTTTTACCCTCACTTAAAAATTCTGATTTTCTTAATTGTTGCCCTTATATTTGCTTAATCTCATTTAGGTTAATAAAATCAGATTACGTTAATATAACTGCTCCCTCCATTTATTATTTGCAACTCCTCGCATTCACTCACTTTCCGAACCACCATCAATTAATGTGGCTGGGATTTGTTGATATGTTCAGATCTTTGAACATGAACCTTAGTTCATCCTTTTTCGTATTCCTCTCTCCTCTTCGTACTTCATCTTCCCCAAACTCACTCATTAGATCTGAAATTCCTAACCCAGATCTTTCAACATTTGAGTCCCTTAACACCATGGTTAACATGTATCCACTTCATGATGCCTATATAGCAAACAACGACAAGGGTGAGGAGAATTTGATTCTCTCCATCATTAACTCTATTGAGAATGGATCTCCTTCTACTTGCGAATTTTATGAATCTGGTGAAGCCCTTCAGTTCTGTTGCGAAACCATGTACAAAGCTTTGGGCAAAGTACTTCAAAGCGTGGAGGAGGATGGACGCAAGGAGAAGATTGAGGGGAGGGTGAGTCTCGTGGGAAGAAATCGCTGGATTTCACTGCTGTGGCTGTAGATCCAGCTTGTGAAAGCAACGACGACAGTGCTGTGGCCTCCTAGACCCCAAATCTAAGAGGGCTAGGCCACCAACGAAGATCTGGGCAACCAGGAAGGCGGCGAGGGTGGCCTTGAGGCGGATCTGTGGCTTACCTGATGAGGATTGGGTGATTTTGTCCTTAGATGATGAGGCTGACAATGGTGTCCCTCCTGTTCTTACTGACGAAGAGAGGCGGTTGAACCTTAGGGTTCAACCCTCCAACTGACTACTTGTGTAACGCCTCCTAACCCTAACCCTAACTTGTGCATTTTTTACTTTGAGTCCCATGGTTTTGTTGTGTGTTATGTTCAATACGAGTCCCATAATTACTGGTTGGTTGGTGGATCTGTGTTCATTTTTGCATGAATTTTGGAATTAATTTTTGTTTGTGTAGTTATTTAATGTTGGTTACTGGTGGGTGCTGGTGTACAATTGTGGGTTTGTGGGTTTCGTTGGTTTTTGTTGGTTGCTTCTGTTGGTTTATGTTGGTTAGTTTATGTTGGTTGCTAGTGTTGTTTCCTGGTTTATGTAGGATACTGGTGGTTGGTGGTGTACAATGGTGGGTTTTTTTGTTGTTGTTGGTTTATGTTGGTTGCTGCTGTTGGTTTATGTTGGTGGCCTTTTGGTTTACGTTGGTTTATGTTGGTTGCTACTGTTGTTGGTTGGTTTATGTTGGTTGCTGCTGTTTTGGTTGGTTTATGTTGGTTACTGCTGTTGTTGATTGGTTTATGTTGGTTGCCGCTGCTGTTTCCTGGTTTATGTTTATTGCTGCTGTTGTTTACTGGTTTATGTTGGTTGCTGCTGTTGTGTCCTTGTTTAAGTTGGTAGCTGTTATTGTTTCCTAGTTTATGTTGGTTGGTGCTGTTGTTTCCTGATTTATGTTGGTTGGTTTTTGATTGGGTAGTTAGGTTGAATGTTGGTCAGTGAAAGTAATTGTAGTTGGCATGTTGGCTAAGCTTCTTGATTAGGGGAATATGATTGATGAATGATGAGGCTACTATGTCATATGGTTAGCAAGGGCTACATTTTCAGTGAGTTTTTGTGTTTCATTTGTGGAGTCCCTTTTGGTCTTCTGTTGATGCACTCAAGTTGTGAGTCCCCCATCTATGTTTTCATACAACTTGAGTTATGTTTTGTAATCCGAATGATGAAGGGACTCCATTGAATGTCACTTCATAGTAGAGTTTTGCTCCCACATTTTCCTGGTGGATTTTGTTGCTGAGGTACCTTTGCTATGAAGTGTTGTCACTAGACGAAAAAGGTAATTTGGCACCGGTTCAAACCCCCCCTAAGGCATCGGTTTTGAACCGTTGGGGATTTGAGGGATGCCAAATCCTCAAAAATTTGGCACCGGTTAACCGGTGCCAACTTCAAAGGCGCGATTTTTTTATTTTTTATTATCAACACTATTAGCACCGGTTTAAGCAAGAACCGGTGCATAAAACCCAACTTTAGGCACTGGTTCTTGCTTAAACCGGTGCCAATAGTCTCAAAAAAAAAAATTTAAAAAAAACTTTTGGCACCGGTTCTGGTCCAAACCGGTGCCAGAAATACCCCAAAAAAATAAAAAAAAAAATTTTTTTTGCATTTTTTTTCACCTAAATTGATATAGAAACATTAACATATATATAAAGTTACATATTTTCATTAAAAAATGCTGTAATATTAAAATTTTCGTCCAAAAAGAATTAAATAATATTATAACCTCGCAGCCCACCAAAACATCAACACCAAACCACACCACTACTGTACAATACCCAAACCAGCAGCCCAACCAGTGCAGAGCAGGCACTAGTAGGTCCTTGAAGAACAGCAGTCAGACCAAATGCAAACAGCATCATAGCAATCTGAACCATAGCAGAACAGTCCCAGGGTCACAGAAACACAAACTGCACCAGAGCAAAGCACAGTAGCCACCACATCAGAACCAAGCTCAGGAACGCAGAAAGACAGACCATAACAAACCAGCAAGGACAGGAAAAACAGAAGCATCAAAAGATGTACCCCAGAGTTATCCAGAGCTGTTAAAGGCTATGGAAATTATGTTCAAGAAATGTATCGGACAATACTCCGAAAGAGATGGATATAATGGATCTGATGTTGCACCCACTTACAAAGACAAGGATGGTGACTGGATGCTGGTTGGAGATGTACCATGGGAGATGTTCATCACCTCCTGCAAAAGGCTTCGGATCATGAAGTCATCAGAAGCAAAGGGACTTGGATGCCTATGACCAGATTATCAATCAAACTCACAACATATAGACTCACCAGATTATCAAACAAACAAACATCTTCAAAGGTAACCCACCTTAAAAATTATTCCAAGTATGAATAATATTTTTTCTTCTTTCTTTTATACCCATTGATGCTCTTATAAGCTTATAATTTGCATGAATTGTTGAAATTTTTTATTTATCTGTTTGCGTTCTCCAAATGCTAATCTTAGAGGTGGGGATTTCATGCTATGAATTGTTGATTGCCGTACTTATCTGAATTTTATTTTCAAAGATTATGAGTTGCTAGGGTTTAGGGTTTTAGGGATTTAGGGATTTTAATAAATTAGTATGAACTAGCAAACAGGTCAAAAAGACCTTCAGTTTAGGACATCAAACCACCCCATTTAAATCGAGTAACACTGACTCATAATTAGCGTAGAAATTTTTCAACACTAACATGCAGTTTTTAACTTTTGGTATCTAGTTCGAGTAGTCTTGTCGTATCAAGATGGGATTATAGTTTTAAGGCTAGACAATTATTGTATTAACAACGTATGAGATCTATTGGCAGAAACTACTACAAGCCAAAATACCTTACAAGTTTATTATTAATAATCATCCATTATCTCTTATAAACTCATTTGTGTCTTTTTTATTTTTTACCAATAGTTATCTGAAACCGATGTAAATTCAGAGAAATTGAATGAGATCAAATACCTTACAAGTTTATGAGCTTCATCAAATTGGTTCCAGAAAATTTGCCACCATCTCTAACTTCTGATAATGGGCATTCAGAGTCTCAACTTGCTGTTTCGAGAGTTTCTCCTCCTCCTTTAGCTGCTTCTGCTACACAGAAAGAAACAGCACCCCAAACATGAGTATTACGCGCATTATGATAATGCAATGATGAATAAACTGAGTAAATACATGAACAATAATCACAGATGAATTCCAATAGTCTGATCAATAAATGGAGATCAGTATTAACAGTTGTGTTTTGAAACGCCTGTGCATTACAAACGACAGTATGGAAATAGCCAACAACCAAAGTGTAAACTTGATAGGCAGAACTTCAAGAATATCCAAGCAACAATGCAATCTAATATCAACTATTAATGTTTGGAGCACAACTTTCAGACAGGAAAACAAGATAAAGTTTACCTCTGGTAAAGCAGCCTACAAGATGGTCCAAATCAACTTTTTGTTGGATGCTGATTTTCTAACATCACTGGTGTCAAAGGAGGTGAGAAAATATCACCCCACTTCTCTGAGCCAGGTGAAGTTTGGAAGGTGGTGATTTTCTTTCTGTTCCAGAAGCACCACTTAGGGGCATGGAGTAGTAACCTATTCGAGGAGGAGTAGGTAATGGGGATGCTATCTTAGGCAAAGAGAATTTACCAGCAGCAGAATTCTCAGAACTTCTTGACAACAATGGTGCAAAATGTCCAACAGTGCCTGAAGGTCTTTACAATTGAAAACGAAATTACAACGAGATTAGAAAAAAAATTCAAACGGGGATTTTAAATATAATTTTAAAAATCAAAAATGAAATTCAGAAACAAAATTGAAAAATATAGAAAACTATTAACAAACAAAATTTACCTTTGAATACTCCCTTGAATTGCAATGTTAGTTTTAGGATGATCAGGAGAAACACCAGGACAAACTAACCCAAATGGAAATCGCAATCGATCCAATATATCAACTGCATGCAATTAAAGCAAGAACTAATTAACATACCCACCCAACCAACAAAGAAAACGCATAAAACAAAACTCAATAACTAAGAAAGCAATGCAATTATGTAGAGAAGATTCTTTGTCAGTGACAGAAAACCTAGGTGTGGGCACCAATTAAAGGGAAACAAAAAAATTGCCCAACAGGCTAACCTTGATGTTGACAAACAAGTTTTCTTGGCATACCCTACAAGTTTTGAGTCACATGACCACTAGAACTCCAGCTTGGGACTGGTCATGAGAGCCAGAAGGCTATGGTGGCCTGCAGCATAATTAGATTAAAAAAAAAAAAAGATATGCTACAGTAAGCATCAGCATGTGCCAGGACCTACAATGATTAAGAAAGATATTATAATTTGCAAGTTCAAAACTCCACAAGGCCATTAAGATGATATTTTTTTAAAAAAAAAATTAATAATTTTAAAAAAAAATTAATAATAATAATAATAATAATAATAATAATAATAATAATAATAATAATAATAATAATAATAAAAAAAAAAAAAAAAGGCCTTAACCTTGATCATGGATGAGAGACAACTTCACTTACACAATATGCTGATATGGAGATCAGAACGAAGCACAAGAGCTCCTGGGCACATAAAAATCACAAAAGCAAGATCAAACAAGGACCAGTAATTTGATTCAGGTGAGCCAAATCTAATCGAAAAAACAAAAGTGACAACTAACAGTCACAGCAGGCACCAGAATTCTGAAAACAATTACAGTTGCACACACTAGGCATGTACCAAATTTTACAGCTTATCAACAATCAATGAAACCATCAAAAGATGATAAGCAGGGGAGCGTAATCTATAGGAAACCAAATACTGCAATTACAGCTCTTCACCTCTGGCTCACAAAGCAACCAAGGGAAGGAACCAAAACATCATAAATTACCAGACATATATAAAAGTAATAGAACACATACTTTGAGCATAATCAAGAGGGGAAAAGAACCTTACACAAAGTTGTTTACCAAAACAAGAATTTAGTTGTTGCTAAGAGATACTGAGAGATAAACCAGACGACAATTGGCAAGGAAAACTAACCACAAGGAAAGTTTTGCAAGATGAACAAACTAGAAACAGCTGCTACAAACACATCATATCCGTCACGTGCATATGATGTGTTTCACAATCAGCAATAAATTCATATGAGTAAATGTTAATAGCTAGACAATGGATGTACACCAATTGTCAGTTTTTGAATAAAAAAGTGTTTCACTCTTACCCTGGTGAGAGCTCATCATCAAATATCACTGTTTCAACATCAAATGCATGAATTGCACTCTTGATCTCAAAAACCTTGCCTGAGCCAATATATGTTCTTGGATTTGGAGCAGCAAGCCTAATTCATACAGCAGGTGTTGAAGTTATTTACCATGCAGACCAGCAGTTCTCACAAAGCAAAAATAAAGGAGAAATGTATTTGATAGAAGACATATGTAAACTATATGACAAAAACTCATAAGTCAATACACACTTGGTAAAGTAATCCGAGTTTTGTTTTACAATCTCTATCTTAACAAGTTAAAACGGAGGTACTAAAGCTTTTAATTGAACTGTAGCTGCTTTGGAGGCCATGTTCCTAGATGACACATAACATGCCTTAAGTTACAAGTGCTTTTCACTTGCAAAGAATTACAACGGATACAAAATCAACTCATTGAAACCCTTTAAGTTCTAATTAAAAGAGTTACATTATCGTTTTAAGCGACACTCCCCCATTCAATTCTCCAACCCTTCCCCAACTTTCACAGTCACACACAGAGTGACAGAGATACATAACATGTTAACTGGAAGATTTAGGGCATGCACAGATAATATAAATCTCTAATTAGCTAATTGTACTGTCTTAAGTATATGCACATTGCAACTTATAGCGTAACCACATTATGCAATAGAAAAACCCACGACATACTCAATTTTGATAAGTAGAGCCAACAACCTGAAGACCTGCTGTGTCAACTAGTTGAGCCAATTCTTTCAGAGATTCTTCTATTCCAAACGAATCCACTTTAATACCTTTTTACTCCACACCCACAAGATAAGCTTTTTCAGCAAGAACCTGACATTACAATATTAGGCCACTTAACTTATTCTCCCAAGAGCCTCAAACAATGGCAGAGGGCGCATAAATAAGACAACAGTCAATCAATAACAACATAACACAAACTTAAAAATGCTTAGCAACAAGTTGCGTATACTTTTCTGCATGATCAACATAGCAACTAGAATCACCTAAAGCATTAGAACAGTGATCCTAATATCCTATGCTCAACCTCAACAGAAAGCCATATATGCATATAATATCATAATACAACATCACCGCGATTCCTCTTATGAGACTATATCTACTATCTACAATTGGGTAAACGGTAAACCAAATTTCATAAACATAATCTGTTAAGAGGTTCTATTAGAGGTGGTTTTTTATGCACCCTAAATTTGATCATTAAACTAATAATTAACATGAAAGAAGTGTGAAGCAAAATCAAAAGTGAAAGGAAACAAAGACAAAAAAAAAAGAAAAAAAAAAGAGAGAAGAGGACATACGGGAGACATCAAGAGATCATCCTTGAAATGGTTGTATTGAGACCTCTTGTTGACTAAATCAGAGGGCCACATTGCTCGATCACTGGGCAAATACCCCAGCAGAAGCTGCCAATTGCAATTGAAATTTATATTTTTAGGTATTTCAATTCCGATTAAGTAAGTAATCAACTTAAAGTATGAAATGAATAGAAAGTGAGACAGAAACCTTCCAGACAGTAGAGCGGATGGCAGGAGCATTAGGAAGACCCATGGATGCTAACCTCCTGATTTCTCTGATGTTGATGATATTCTTCGACAGCTTTACAAATTCAACAAATTAGGTTAGGTTAGGAGTTGTTGGTGATGAATTGAATTGAAAAAGAAAGAAGAGAGAGAGGAACCTCGAGTGAGAGCTGAGCATGGCGAGAGATCTCCTCGGGGATAGGAGAAGGAGAAGGAGAAGCAGAGGAAGTGGAAGTGCCATTGGAGTTCGGCGGCGGAGGAGGTGGCGATGGAGGTCGAACCGGCGACGGAGGGCGGACGATGGGCGGAGGAGGCGTAGACCAGAGTGAAGAGTTCAACCAATCAAGTATTCAAAACCACAACAAAAATACCAACGAATTGCATCCCACAACAAATCCATCTAAAAACAACCAAAAATCCATCTAAAAACAACCAAAAATCCATCTAACCACAATCAACCAAAGCCCTAATTTCAAAACTAAAATAACAAATTTAAAAACTTAACCAAATTTCCACCTGGAACTCTAAAAATCCAACAACCAATCGCGACCACCGTCACATTGCCTTGATGCCGTGAAGAATGAAGATAAAGTGTGGTGGCGGTGGAAAGGGGTGCGTAGTGGTGGAAGTAGTGGAGTCAAGAGGGAAATGGGGAAAGGTAGAAGGAGAAAGGAAAAGAAATTGAAAAAGAAAGACGCAATAACCTAACCCGGGTTTTTTTTTCTCAAATATGGTACCGGTTTGAACCGGTGCTAATTAACATAGTTGACACCGGTTTAAGGCGAATCGGTGCCAACTCTATGTCATACTTATTTTTTTTTTTATAATAAGTTGGCACCGGTTTGAACCGGTGCTAATTAAATGATTGGCACCGGTTTTGGTTGGAACCGGTGCCAACTCTGAATTTTTCAATCCCGCCCATTTCTTTTGGCACCGGTTTTCAAGAACCGGTGCTAAAGGGGGGGGGTGCCTATTTCATTTTTTCTACTAGTGTGTATTCAACAATGTGGTTAGCTCTACTGATGGATTACTTGGCCACACATAATAACACAATTTCATTATCATTCCATTAAAAAGGGGGGTAAACTAGAACATACATTTGACTGCCTTACATGGTTCCTTCATCATAATAAACAAAAGACACCTAACCACCTATTCATGCACATAAAAGCTTAAAAAAAGAAACAAAACACAAAAACATCTAAGTAAGTGGTTATGTGTGGCAGTCAATGTAGTTCACCTTCCTTGTATGTGGTTTGATGATTCCCCTAATCTGCATCTACCTCAATGTCTTCTGCTGCACCTTGAGTCCCTTGACTGGCTGGCCTAAACATGGTGTCTAGGTATTCCACAGCATCCAACCCAACTTCCTTCCTCACTGTCACTTGATCTGGTAAAATTCCTACATTTTCAAGTTTCTTCTTGTTCATGTGTGGTATTTATTATTACTTGTTTCCCCCTTTGTGCCTTGAGAATTTTGATCATGCATCTTTGTAAGGTCACCCAAATGTACTTGTTCACTTGGGGCTTGAATGTGTTATAACATTCAATAACCTTATCAACTAGCTCATCTAGGTCCTTAGGGAAAGATTGATATTGCAATGTGATAAGTCGTGTTTTGTGCGTATTTATTAGCTTATTTTTAGTTGATTTTATTAGCTTAGTCGAGTGTTTTAGTCCATTTTGGTGTAATTTGGTTTAGTTTCGATGATTCGATGCTTTTATGGGTAGTTTCGTTGTTTTTGATGTATTTCAGGATTAACGGAGCTAATTGAGTGAAAATGAAGCAAAACGTTGATGAAATACTTGACAAATACGACACCTGTTCACTATTATGCTCATAACTTTTGATATACAAATGATAATGGAGTGATTCAAATTGCATTGGAAAGTAGACTTGAAGACCTTTCCAACAATATATTACACGTCTCAAATGAAGCTTCGGATATGAAGTTATGAATGATTTAAGATGAGTGATACGCGCAGCAGGGGAGGCACGTCCGTGCCTAGCAGAGGCACGTCCCTGCCTCCAAGTCAGTTTACACAGCTATGAGCTTCGACATTAGGCACGTCCGTGCCTAGCAGGGGCACGTCCGTGCCCAAGACTGCAGAATTACACTCGTCAAGAGGCACGTCCGTGCCTAGCACCAGGCACGTCCGTGCCTGAAATTCAGTAGCCAAGGAAGATTTCACTCGCACAGAGGCACGTCCGTGCCTATTGAGGGGCACGTCCGTGCCTCCTGGGAGGATTAAGCGCCAAGAAACTTTGTTATCTTCTTATCTTTCTAGGGCTATATATATATTAAGTAGTGTTTTATTTCTTCATTAAGTTTTATTCTAGCCTTTTAATTCACGTTATTAAGAACTAGTTCTCTCTATTTTATTTTCTTTACTTTTGTAATTCAAGATTCAAGATTTCCACTTTCTGCCTTCAATTCAATTCAAGATTCGGTATTTTATTTTCATCTTTTATTTCTTAATTATGTTTTCTTTAATTATTTTTGTTATTGTTTATTTAATTATGAGTGAGTAGATTCCCTATTCCAAGATCTAGGGTAGCCCAATTATGATTGATGCATGAATTAAATCTTTAAATTTTCTAATGACTTTTGCAATTGCTATGCTAAATTGATTGTGATTATGCCAATGCTAGATTAGGCGTAATCTTAGTATTGTGATTATTCCATTGTCTCTATCACAGCGAGAGTCGGGTTTAAACGGATTTGAGTAGATCAATTTAGGGTTTGATATTCAACACGAGAGTAGTTGGGTTGATAATTGGGAAGTTAGAGTAATGTGTTTAATGTCTCTAATGTGCATGATACCATGAGAATAGGCTTGATTGTATGTTAGGGAAGCCATTGATACTCGAGAGAGGTCCTTGGTATTGATTAGGGTTTACTTTTCCCCGTTCAATTGGAGTCGTATGTTAGGGGTAGAAATATAATTGCATCAAGCGTAATTGTGGTGATACTTGATCTTGGATGTTTTAATTACTTGATTTCTTCATATTCTTTAGTTTATTTTCGAATTTTCCATACATTAGTTCCTTAGTTAATCGATTATTATTGATTCTTGCTTAGTAGAAATTTGAGTCTATTTAATTATTTTTGAACCTTAGTCTCTTGGGATTCGACCCTTGCTTGCCCTGCTACATAGTAGTGGTCAGTTAGGTTATATTTTGTTAGGTACGCGACACGCCTACCAAATTTTGGCGCCGTTGCCGGGGACTAACGGTTTCATTTGATTATTTGTGATTCGTTTTACTAAGCCTCATTCGTTGCTTCGGCTATTGTTTCTTGTGTTTTTGATACTCTTCTCTTAGTTCCTTGTTGCATGCAAACTCGAGGTTCAGGATCAGACGATTTAATCCCTTTTGATTCTGAAATCGAAGCGACCGCAAGAAGAAGAGCAGGTAGAAGAAGAAGGAGAAATCAAGCCAACAGAAACATGGAAGATGCCACGAAGTCTCTTTTGGAGTACGGTATCCTTGATACGACAACCGGACTCCTCTCTAGCATTGTCAGGCCACCTGTCACTGCTCAGCACTTCGAATTGAAACCACAGTTCATTCAATTCATCTCTAATGATTCATTTGCAGGCACACCACATGATTGCCCAGTAAGTCAAATTGATAGTTTCTTGGAGAAATGTGATACTATGAAAATGAATGGTGTTACAGATGATGCCATCAGACTTCGCCTTTTCCCTTTTTCACTACGGGATAGGGCGAAAGAGTGGTTGAGAGATGAAGGCACTGGCTCGTTCGATACATGGGACAAGCTAGTGAAGCCCTTCTTAGTGAAGTTTTTGGGACATGAGAAGACTGCCAGGTTGAGGAACGAGCTATCCACTTTCCGACAGTCAGATGACGAGTCTCTCTATGAGGCTTGGAGAAGGTTCAAGAGGTTACAGAGACAATGCCCTCATCACGGTATCCCAGAGTGGCTGTTGATTCAAACCTTCTATAATGGCCTAACCCATGAGTTCCGAATCTACATTGATGCTGCATCAGGGGGTTCTCTCTTGATAAAGAACCCAACTGAGGCAAAGGAGCTGATTGAGAAGATGGCGGCCAACGACAACTACCATCCAAGAGGCCAACATACTGTGAAAAAGGGAGGTAAGCTTGATGTAGATGCTTTGACTATGTTAGCTAGTTCTGTGCAGGCACTAACAAGCAGGTTTGATAAGTTCCAAGCTGGAACTTCTACTAGCCCACTGGAGGTTTGTCAAATGTGCAATGTGCAATGTGCAATGTGCAATGTGCAGGGCCACATCACACCGGATTGCCCGCAGAATATGAGTGAGATGTCTATTGAACAAGCCAATGCTTTCTACTCTTCGAACCCCAAACAGCCTTTTGATCCTTACTCCAATTCTTACAACGAAGGTTGGAAACAACATCCCAACTTCTCTTATAAGAACACCCAAGGACAACAGAATCCACCATCACAACCATCCCTATCCAACAACTACAACTCACCACCCGGTTTCCAACAAAGAACACCTATGAACCAACAACCAACGCAACTACTTCCCCAAAAATCTAGCCTTGAGTTGATGATGGAGAGCTTCATTACCACAACCAATAGTGCCATCCAACAACAAGGTAGCTCCATCCAACAGTTGCAAGCCCAGAGTAAGCTCATGGAAACCCAAATAAGTCATCTTTCACAACAGGTGAGTCGCCTATCAACTCTTCATGATCAAGCAAAGGTCCAGAAAGAACAATGCAATGCAGTTTTCTTGAGAAGAGATGGACCATCTCCGAGGCAAATAGGTGAGAAGGTGTGCAGTGTGGAGTCTAGGAAAGATGAAAGGGGCAAAGATATCCAAGGCCCCAAATATGTTGCTCCACCGGCTTATGAGGAACCATTGCCTTTCCCGCAAAGGTTGTCAAAAGCCGTACTCGATAGACATTTTGGGAAATATTGCGAAGCCCTTGAGAAGGTACACGCTTCTACTCCCTTTTCCGATCTTTTAATTCAAATGCCTCAATTTGCAAATTTTGTGAAGACTATAAAAGATCAACAAAAGGATAAGGAAGTAGTAAATAAGAAGGGCCCTACTCTCTTATATGATAACCTACCACCTAAGATGCATGATCCGGGTAGTTTCACTATTCCCTGCACGATAAACGAGAAATTTTTCGATAGGGTTTTGTGCGATTTAGGTGATAGTGTTAACTTAATGCCTTATTCATTATATGAGAGTTTAGGCTTGCAAGGACTTAAACCTTCCCCTATCTCTCTTCAATTGGCTGATAGAACCTCTAGACTCCCTGAGGGTGTGGTTGAAGATGTATTAGTTACGGTTGGTGAACTTGTTTTTCCTGTTGATTTTGTTGTTATGGACATTAAAGAAGACCATAAGATCCCGATTATATTTGGTCGTCCATTCCTTGCCACAAGTCAAGCTTTAATAGATGTTCCTAAAGGACAAGTGACCATTAGGGCCCAGGATAAACAAGTCATGTTCAAGCTCTTTGATGAACATAATTCTATATTTGATGGTGGTACTTGCTTAAGAATCGATGCTACTAACCCTTTGTTTGATAAGTATGTATTTGATAGAAATTTCGTGAGAAGCAAGGACAAAATTCCACCCGATGATGTGCTTGGCCACATGAAGGTGAGTTCGGATATAAGGCAGGTAAACAATAAAATGAAGGAGTCACTTGGAGGCAATCATTCCCATGGGCAACATTGCGGAGTTCCCCCTTCGTGGGTGATCCCGGTTGAGCCAATGAGTATCACTACGGTCAAGCTAAAGACCTTATAAACAAGCGCTAAATGGGAGGCAACCCATTCTCGATCCTTTACTTTTCTTTTATTCTTTTTTTTTTATTTTTATTTTTGATTCTTGATGTGGTTATTAGTGTTCTAATTTTTATCATTTTCTCTATCTAAATAGGTGAAAAGAGCAAATTCTATGAAGATGGAGTCCCCACGAAATAAGGCACGTCCGTGCTTCCAACCTAGCTCCGACCCGAGGTATGGTTTTCCCCCTTCCGATCAGTAGATTGTTTCCCTCTCCCCTTGACCATTTTACACTGATTTTTGCATACATTGAGGACAATGTATGGTTTAGCTTGGGGGAGGATCCACTTTTCACCATGTATATTTTAGTTTTCTTTTAGTATTTGGGTAGTTTATTTCTTTTTAGTATTGATTGATATCCCTTTACATGCCTATACTTCTTTGATAACAATCATATATGTATGCTTTGCGAAAATAGTTTTCGAAAACCCATTCACCGATTTGCTTGGAATTGAGTTGGTTTGTGGCCAGGATGGTCTCCCCGCTCTACTTATGTGAATAGCTTGTGTACCCGGTGAGAGTTTTGAGCCATATTTGACTGATTTCACTCTATCTCAGTCGTGTTTTTTTTTTCATGTGTGATTAGTTGTCCTTCACATAATCGAATTCTTGGTCTTGCTCTTTGACTGTTTGAGACTTGAATGATGCATGTTGCGAAAAAATGATTGAAATTTCCTTGTAGAGAATAGAGCCTCCACATTCTAGGCCTACATAATTTTTTTTATTTTTCATTCACCCGTAGGTTGAGCCAATTTGAGCCGTGTTTTAACCCCTTCTTGATACCCTACGTTTAAAGCCATAGAGCTATTTTCCTAGGTTTATTTTGAAGGAGCATTACACTTGTTAAAGCCCTATGAGTGATATATGAAAAAAAAAGGAAAAAAAAAATTTGAAAAAAAAAAGAAAAAGAAAAAGAGAAAGAAGGGAATTGATTTATTAGAAGCAAGGAAGGAAGAAAGGAAAAGAAAGAAAGAAAGAAAAAGAGTTTTAAAAGCCTTTAAGGGTCTTCCTAATTCCTAGTTTGCTATGAGTCCCTTTCTTTTTGTGAAAAAAAAAGAAAAAAAAAAGAAAAGAAAAAAAAAAGAGTATGAAAAAAAAAAAAAAAAAGAAAGAAAGAAATAAAAGGGCTATGTTTATATTGTATGAAGTTGGAGGAAATAAGGTTGGCTTGAACCCGACATTTGAATGTGTAGTGGGATTAGGATTTGTTATACTTTGAGCACCACATTCCCAAATTACGTCGTCCAACCCTTATTTACCGAGCTTACCCCTAATGGATTTCATGATTTTCGTAATTGCATCAATCATTAGAAGTGGAGAAAGTCACATTGCAAGCCTAAAGAGGCCGATTTATGTGAAGTTGACATGCATTCTATGCTTAGGTTGAGTGATATCATATTTCACCCCATAAACACATGAGCGTTTATTGTTTTTATTTTTCACAACTAAAGTGAGAGCTATTTATGTTTGTGTGAGTTGGTATGGGGAGATGTGTGGTAAGATGTTTGTCGATTCCAAGTTTAAGAGGTTTATGGTGGTTTTATGCATATTGACTCTTATTTTTGTTTTCCTCGTAATTTCAAATTGATAGCACATTATGATGGTTTGAGAAGTTGTCTTTCTCCTCCCTTGTGATTCATGGTTATAATGACTACATTGGCCTAAATAAGCCTAGATCCAACACATTTAGATCAGGTGATTGTGCTGGTTGGAATACAAGTTCAATATTAAACCCATTTGTTGTGGTTGCTGCCATGAACTCTTCATCTTGAGGAACTTGGTGAGGCCTTGCATTGTCCATTTATATGATAACATTTTTGGGCAGAGTTTCTGGCCATTTTGGCTGAATTGCTGGAATGACTTTTGTCAGCAGCATCTCCCTAATAACATCTCTATTCACATTCTGCAGTGCCTTGGTGACCAAAGTGCCTGCTGCTCTGTTTTTGCTTGATTTCTTTGCTACCTCTTTCACAGTGAATGGGAATATCCCATACTCCCCATCATGTATGAGTCCCCCATCCGTGTCATATAATGACTTCCCAATTATAGCCATAAACAAAGCCATTAACTTGAATCTTTTTTACTGTTATGCCATATGTGGGTCTTCCTCACCTGGCAGGAGATAAAATCTTCTCCTGTCAGGATTGAGATAGAACCATTTCTCATCTATGCGTATGACATGGTTCATACTAACAAAATTGGGGTCCTCATTGGCTGTGACTGGATTTATATGTGATAGCACCTATTTCAGTCTAGCAACCTTGTGGTCTGATGTGAGTGCAGGCTTGGTGCTGCATGTATGTGTTCTTAGCCTTCCCTTTTTCTGTAGATTGTGTAGAGTTACATGAGAAATCTTCAGGGAAGCTGCATAACTCCTCTCTGTCTGCCTAAGATACAAAGGGATTGATTGTAGGAATGCGTTTGAAAATTCCCTTGGCTTAGGACCTGTTCTGCCATACTTCTTAGTCCTGACATCAATTGTATTCCCCATTGCCATCTGTTTTGTAATGTCAGCAAAAACTTTGGTGATTGTTGACTTGTGTACACTGAATGGCATTAATAAATGTTTCATGAATCCCTTAGGTAACATGCCATTTTGCATTGTGACAAGCATTGCATCAACAATTTGCCTTTTCTTTTGCAAAGTAAGCTGCTTTCTACTGGCAGCTGGAGTCCCTTGTTGTGCCCCATGTTCAATGTTCTGGTTTGGATCATTTCCATATGTGCCCTGTTGTCCATTGTCTGGTTGTGGTTCTTCTTCTTGCATTGTTTCATTTTCTGATTCATATTCCTCGAAATCAGCATCTTGCATTTCTTCATGTTCATCATAGTAAAGTTTTGTCAGTGCTTCCTCTGATATAAGTTGTTGGTCAACATCTAAAAAGTCTTCATCAGAATGAGCCATTTTTTCTGTGTTGTATGTGTGTGTTCAGATTTTAGAAGATGCAAAAGGACAGACTCTAGTTTTTTTATAGGAGAACATGTTGTCTTGTGTGCATATGAAGTCAGTGGTGGGTGGTGGCTAATGAAGATTCAAGCTGTGCAACACTAATTGTAGTTTAGGGAAATTTTTCGTGAACAATTCAGATTAGGAAGTGCTTGAATATGTGGTTAAACTTTGTCGGTTTTTGGAAAAAACATTTCGGATGTAAGCTTTAATTGCAAAATGTTATGGAGGCTGGTTTTAAAGGCCTCATAAATGAAATAGGGGAGTTGTACATTCCCCCTTGGCAGCTTTCTGTTTTTTGGCTGACAATTCAAATGCACCAAAATACAAATTTTGGTGAATTTTTGGGAGGGAAAATGTTAGGGCCCTCCACTTCCTAAATTTCCCACCAGAAATTTTGTGTGGGGTTCCTACTTTCTCTCTCCTAGTTACCTTTAATTATCTTCCCCCACTCCCTCTAATCTTTGCCCTTTAAAAATTGCTTTGGTAACCGTGAAATGTACTTTAGTTGCAGATAATATTCAACGGAGGAAGTAAATTGATACAATTTAAAGCTTATCAATTTGATATGCAGATGGTAGAATTTTTACTTGGACACCCAAAAAAAAAAACAAATATGCTATAAGCAAAAAAGGATTGTCAGCTATGGATATTCATAAGCGAAGTCGGAAGGATGTGATATAAGATGACAAGATATGGCAACACCTCAATCGCGCCAATGCATAACCCGCAAAGGAAGCACTAAAACCCAAGAAAGATCGCGCTTGGTTGGAGGACCAGCGGACATCCCTAATGGTGGTGGCATCCTTGATCGCAACCATGGCCTTCTAAGCCGGAATTAATCCCCTAGGAGGCGTTTGGCAGGATGATTTAGCCTATTCAGGTACATTCGATAAAAGGACAGGAATGTATATTGGCCATGATGCAGGTTACTACTAGAAATAGGCCGTTTTCCGATGGAATCGTTCCGACGGACCTATATTCCATCGGAATATTTGTAATTTTCGATGGAATTAGGATCTGTCAGAAATTTCCGTACGTTACGACGGAAAATCCGTCGGAATACTTGCGACGAAAATTAATTCCCTCGGAAAAATAGGCTTCCAACGGAATATTCCGTTGGAAAGTTAAGTTATCAACGGAATTAAATTTCGACGGAATATTCCTTAGGAAATCCCAATCATGCCGACGGATTAATATTCCGTCGGAAATTTCCGTCGAAACCTTATTCAAAGAAAAAAAAAATCCTTAAACATTGAAACCCTAATCTCCTTCCTTCTAAATTCCGCCTCTTTTCTAGTAACTTCCTTCTCTTTCCCCTTTTTCTTTCTCTCCCCTTATCTCCTTCCTTCCTTCTCTGTCTTTCCCCTTTTCTCTTTCCTGCATCTTCCCTGCATCTTCCCTTTCTCCTTCTCTTTCCCTTCTTCTTATCTCCTTCTCTTTCCCGTAACATCCCCTTTTTCTTTCTCTCTCCTTATCTCCTTCATTCCTTCCTTCTCTTTCCCTTCTCAACGACATCAAGAACGGCGCAACAACACGATTGCCACCACATCAACGACACCAACAACATCTTCGTCTTCTTCGACCGACATCAATGACAACCAGCAGCAAAGGCCAACATCAACGATAACCAGCGACAACGACCGACATCAAGATCTAGGTTTTTTTTAATATTTTTTTCGGATCTTTATTAATTTCAGAAGATAATTTAAATGTTTACATAGTTGTTTTATTTGATTTCATTTTTTTATTTGTATTTTTTTTGGATCACAATTTGTACTTTTTTTATTTGTATTTTTCGATTTCATTTTTTCGAATCGATTTGTATTTTTTCGATTTTTATTTTTCGAATTGATTTTTTTATTTTATTTGGGTTGGGCTGTTGCTGGTGGCTAGACAGGGTGGGTGGGTGGCGTGGGGGAGGTTTGGACTGGTGGATATGGGAGGTTTGGAAGGGGGGTATAGGTGGTGTAGGGTCCGTGAGGTGAGGGTGGGGTAGGGTGTCTGGGTGGGGTGTCTGGGTTGGGTGGGGTGTCTGGGTAGGATTAGGTGTCTGGGTTGGGTGGGGTGTCTAGGTTGGGTAGGGTGTCTGGGTGGGGAGATGGGTCTGGGTTTGGTTTGGTGGGTCTGGGTCTGGGTGGGGTGTCTGGGTGGGGTTAGGTATCTAGGTGTGGGAAAATGGGTGGTGGGTGGTGTGGGCTGGTGTGGGTTGGTGGCGGGGTGGATCTGGGTGGGGAAAGTGGTGGTTTTTTTTAAATTTTTTTTATTTACTTTTCCGACGAAATTTTTCCGTCGGAATATTCCTCGTTCGACGGAAAATTTCCGTCGGAACATACTCCACTCCGACGGGAAATTCCGTCGGAACCTTACGACGGATTTTCACTTAAAGTCAACAAAAGCGCCGAGAGAACATAATTCGTCGGAATAGACCTTTCCGACGGAATTTCCGAAGGAATATCACGATATTCCTACAAAGTGTATTCCGAGGGTGCGTTCCGACGAAATTCCGTCGGAAATGGGCATTTCCGACAGAATTTCAGGGTTTTCCGACGTATTTTTTCCGTCGTTGATTGACTGTTTTCTAGTAGTAAATATACTGCTTATAGTTTTGCACTAATTAGTAACACAATAGGACTAATATCATCGCTAAGTGTCATCCTCCTCCTTATCAGCGGCCTTCCATGCAAGCGAAATTTCTTGACATTTTTAAGGATAACCTTGTGGATTTCTGTCACGGCAACAACATTTACATACATGTTCTCGGTATCTAATCTAACTCACGATGACGGCGGAATTTAGGCTGCTATAACGATCTCTCTCTTAGCATGGCTAGGGTTAATGCACTAGTAGAGAAATGCTCATTTGCGTCGCCTTATTTGCGTCGCTTGTAGAAACAAACGAAGCAAATGATATAATTTAAGTTCAGTTTACGTTATTTGCGTCGCTTATTTATTAAAAGTGTGACGCAGAACACTGATATTGGTTATTTGCGTCGCTTTTTAATAAATAAGCGACGCAAATAATTAAGTCATTTGCGTCTCTCTTTTAGTAACAAGTGACGCAAATGATTTTGTGAATTATTTGCGTAATTATTTGCGTCACTTGTTACTAAAAGTGAGACGCAAATAACTATTCCAAAACTAAAAAAAAATAAAAAAAACCTTTCTAACTTTTCTTCTTTTCGCTAGAATTTATCATCAACGTTCCCAAAACTTTTCTTCATTCGTTCCCAAAACTTTTCTTCATTCGTTCTTCTCAGCAACAATTCGTTCCCCGCAACAATTCGTTCCCAGCAACTGAATTCGAGCAAAAATTCGAAGGTAATTAAGCTACCTCCTTATTCGTTCCCAGCAGCAGCATAAGACAAATTTTCGAGCAACAAACGCACAGGTAACGAACCCTAAACTAGTGCAGCGTATTCGAACCCTAATTTTCGAGCAACATGTATTGATTTTGTTGGTTAATGTATGTAAATTTATGCAGCAAATTCGAAGGTTTAATTTGAACCCTAATTTAGAGCATAAACGAGCAAATTCGAAGGTTTATTTTGAGGTATTCTTTTTTCTTGGTTTTTTTTTCCGTTTTTAATTGATTGTTATTTTTGTTTTGTTCAATTTGCTTCAGAATTTAGGTTTTTTTGGGGCCAAATCTAGTTAATTAGTCTGGAATTGGGGAGAATTGAATTGGGTATTGTTTTTGAATTTTAAGTGAATTAGGAAGTTGCTGGTTTAGAATTTTGATTTGGGTTAGTTTGAATTTGAAACCCTTTTCATTGTTGCCATTCACCGGCGGTTTGATTTGAGTTATAAGTTTGCGATTATTTCATTGTTTTTGTTTCTTATGCTTTCTCTGTTAACCTTATTGTATCCATTAGCTTGATATTGCTACACGCTAACACTGAGGTTTTACTTGATATGTAGTGCTAGGACTGTGCCTCCCAATTCATTCATAGTGCTTGAGGAAAAAGTGTAGTGTGAAATGGAATTCAGAGAGTTGCCCCTTGTAAATTGAATTATCTGTTGCCATGAGGGTCAGAGGAACTTACTTTTTGATGAATTATTGGTCATAGTTTGATTAGAGAACTAAATCCGACATATATGTGAGTAAGTGACAAATAGCGTATACATTGTCATAGTACGAAGTATACTGAATGATGGGCATACAACTTAAAATTCTAATTACGAATCGGTGTGTCGAAGAAGAATAGAGAATAATGTGATTCTATTTAGTGGGGGGAGAGGGGGGGGACTCTTTATTCGTTTCTTATACTGGTTTGCTTGGCCTTGATTATATGATACAAAGGGATGGTTTAGGTTCTTTCTTTATTGGTCATAGTTTGTGATAAATCTGCATGATTGAATGGTTAAGGCATTAAGGAAACTTCCTTAACCATTGACACATGACGATAGACCTGAAACCGAGTATGTATTAGCTTAAAAATCAATTTTATTATCAATAGAGCAAAAAGATGAGGAAAAGATTTGGATACATAAGCTTGTTTGTTTGTTTGTTTTTATTGTTTTTTTTTTTTTTTTAGCGCAAATGTGCTACCATGGAACTGCTAAGATTAAAGTTCTGTGATGGCTGCTTTACAGCTTTGTTACTTCTAATTAAGATGAAGTTTCTTTGTACAGAAATGCTGGCAAAAATCTGCACATATTTTTTTTAATTAGATTGCATCTTCCTTTCCTGAGACCAAATTTTATGATTTGGGCGTTGCTTAAGCATTTTGAGATTATTTATTTTCAGAAGCCCTTGTAAATTTCCTTGTCTCTTCTCTCATTGCTTCCACTATGTTGCACTCATTGTTCAAGCTTCTCAGGATATTTTTTGGTTAATTTTACAGGCATTGAGACAAAAAAACGAAGCTCTGTATAAGGAAGTGGAGCAACTTAAGCACAAACTCGTAGAAATTGAGAAGCTAGCAAAGGGACAAGGTATAGCTGGTATTTTCAACTTCAGATTTTTTGGACAGTCAGGAATTGAAAAGTCAGCACAAGGTGCTTGAACTGACTGATAATTCATCTCTGGACTAAATTCACTAGCAACCTTAATTTTTTTATTTTTAGCTTTGTTTAGTTTTTACTTTTGGGTGATATGTGCCTGATGCTTTGTCCAGGATACTTGCTAGCCTGATCAACAAGAAAAGCAGCTGCTGATTGCTCAATTGCCTTTCCATTTGGAGGAGAAAAGTTTTGGTTACCCAGACCATCCGCCCCGTGAATAGTTCTGTGCTTCAGGAAGACGAGTTTCATCGGCTAGCGGATTCCACCATACATCATCTGCTCGAGAAACTCGAGGTAATTATTAATGTTGCCATTGATAGGATGCTTTGTCCATGTTTTATTTGCTATATATTCAAGCAAGTGAAATTAAAATAGAATTCATAATGCTTTTGGCTTTTGGGATAAGTGATTTGGAGAGATTGCTAAATATATATATTTTTTTTGATAGGTATGTTGCCTTACCTCTTAATTAGTGAAGAGGTATTTCCAATTGATGTTCAAAAAGTTTGGGTGTTATAATTATTGAATTTGACCACTGTTTTTCATAATACCCTCTTGTTAATTTTTCCTGGTATAAAGTTATTCATTAACAATAGTATATAACTAAAAATATATTCAAGTGAGTTCTTGTTAATTTTGCCTAGTTTGAGGCGATAGTACACATACGATATTGTCTTCACTTGTGGTATATACTCTAACCATTTTATTATGTAGTTTTAACTTACTTTTTGTGGTTGGAATAATGATTGTGAATTATAGTGGATTTCTAATTGTGATATAATTGATTGAAATTGTAATAATGTTTGCATCATTGGCTTAGATACCCGTTCAGGGCTTACTCATTAGGAGTAAGTTCTGAATAGTCCCCGATTTGGGACTGTTCTTGAATGTTCTATCTCATTTAGGTTGTAACTACTTGAAGTGTTTTTGGATCTAAGAAACTTATGTGCCCTCGAAATAATGCAATATCATCATAATAGTGAGGACCTTATTACGGTATGAGGTGTCAAAAATTTCATTTTAACTTAATAAATACAATTTGAAGTACTTACACTTGGATTAAACTTTTGATCTTTTGTTTGTGTTGTGCTAATAGGATTTTTCAAGATCTACACCGTACACAAATGAGGAGATAAACGAGGTTTGAGATATTTGGGCAGACTATTTTGTATGCAATGTTGAACTTTAGATCTACACTTACAAAACTCCATTTACTTGTTAGACTCTTGTTCTATTTGTTAGGATTGACATGAATGTATGTATTTTGTTTACCAACAATTTGGGTTGGTGTTGGTGATTGTGTTGAATGATGACTATAATGTCAATGGAATTGAGTTGTAAATTTATTGGACAGGTTTTTGATATGATGCCGTCATTCCCAATTTTATGGGTAGGCCAAATTACAAAGGAAACTCTGCCAAAATTTATATTTGAATTCTTTATTATTGCTTCTTACTTTTTATTTTGTATTATATATATGTTTATATATCATTTGCATCGCTGATCATTAAACAAACAAGCAACGCAAATAATTCGCTGTTTGAATTGTCAAACAAGATTCATTTGCGTCACAATATTGTAAAAAAGCGATGCAAATAACTAGAATTCGCTTCACCATTTAACACTATTTGCGTCGCGTTTTTATTAAAAAAAGACGCAAATAAATATCATTTGCGTCGCTAATTTATAAATAAACGACGCAAATAACACTCCTTTGCGTCGCTTTTTTGTAAATAAGCAACGCAAATAACAATCATTTGCGTCGCACTTTTATAAATGTGTGAAGCAAATAAGAGTTATTTGCGTCGCACTTTTATAAAAGTGCGGAGCAAATAAGAGTTATTTGCGTCGCACCAATGTGCGACGCAAATGACTTAAAAGTCATTTGCGTCGCGAACACTTGCTTCGCACCTAGAACCGACGCAAATACACTCTAAAAGTGCGACGCAAATGACCATTTCTCTACTAGTGATGGTGTTTATACTCGTTGGACATGTTGTGCAATTTATATGGAAGAAGATTAGTTGGCGAAAGAGGCAATCAATAATAAAGTTTTTCAAGAGGTGCTATCCATGGTCAAAAACCACTACAAATGTATCAAATACAAGCAATCATGTATTATAGTCAAAACTCACTAATGTGTGTCGTCCAATCTTTATATCCTTAGCTTTAGCAAGTTTGTTGCTTTACATTCTTCATGTATATATATTAAAACTTGTGTGACCTTTAATATTATTACTTATTTTTAAAATAGTAACCTATATTAAAACTTGTGTGACCTTTAATGTTATTACTTATTTTTAAAACTTGTTATTACTTATTATTACTTGTGTGACTTTTAATGTTATTACTTATTTTTAAAACTTATGTGACCTTTATATATATATATATATATATATATATATATATATATATATATATATATATATATATATATATATATATATATATATATATATATATATATATATATATATATATATATATATATATATATATATATATACACATATATATTACTTATTTTTAAAATAGTAACCTATATTAAAACTTGTGTGACCTTTAATGTTATTGTGAACCTAAATTGCGAGTTATGTTGAACAATAGTGACCTAAATTTTAACATATTGACCTCTATTATTCATATTGACCAATATATTAAAAATTTCATAAAAAAAGTAACCTCATATAACTTTTATAATGTCACAATGACTTTTATTTCAATATTGTATCCTTTAATTTAAAATAGTGACTTTTTTTTATTTATTAATAAACATCATAGTGTCTCTAATGTTAGTGATCCACAATAAATTATTGTGAACCAGGTCTATTTAAGAATTTATAAACTAAAATATAGTTTTACACTTTATATTGATTTATTTAAGTAAAAAAACCAGATTTTGAATTTTTTTTTCTATTTTTTTTGGACCTAAGCTAGTTCCGCCCCTGACGACACTCCATACTGCTATATTATTATCCAAGACCTTTCAACGTAACGACACTCCATATTGCTAAATGAGACGTTTAACAGACACTCCCTTGCATTTATAAATGAGACGTACTATGTACAAAGAGCAATTGTTCCTCAGCAAATAAGACGACTTTGACCTGTATGAACAAGGCTCCACCATCGACTAAGATGCGTACTATACTACTACGCACTAATTGCCTGTCGGAAGCTCTATCATCAACGTATTCATTTCATACATCTTAAAACTTGTGAATTGATAGCATGGTACTCCACTACTCCATATCATCTTGTAGGAAGAAAAGAAAATTACAGGATTACTACCTTCATTTCATATTTTGTGCAAGTGTGCAACAAAAATGTAGTGGCCTGAAGACACTCTCAAGTAATATAGGCTCGTAATTTTTTTGTCTACGATCTGATCTAAAGTGGTTTGACCTTGAACCAGTGACCACCATACGCATGGGATAAGTTGAGTCCAACGATCAGTACTGTAATTTATAATTCATGAGTGATAGACCGACCACTCACTCCAAAAGACAGTACGTCCACCATTTATCCCGAAAATTTAGTTGATCAGTCCAATGTTTCTACATTGGCTGCTTTGTTTGTTTGTATTATTACATTAATACATGTCCCTACCGGACGAACGTACTACAACCACCAAGTCATGATGCATGTATATCTCCGTACACCACAATACCGCATGCTCCAAACAAAACAACGGGTACTCCGTAATACATATTGTGTTTTTTTAATTATTACACTTCTCAAACGCAGCCATATTTTAAGTGTTAAACTTATTTGTTGAGGTTACATTTTAATATTATATATATCTCTTCTCTTAGGTTCCTAGTCAAATCTACTACAACTTTTTTATTATTATTATTATTATTATTATTACAAAGTACTTGTATTTCTTTCCATCCACATTCATTACATTTATATTAACATTCAATAAACTATTATCTCTTTAATATTTTATAGTAATAGTTTGAAATATGACTATCATAATTTTTAATAATTATATATTTTTTCCTCCAAGTAATAAATTATATTACTTTATTTTGGGTATAAAATAGTATAATAAACATTTATTTTTATTTATTATATTTTTAGTTTCATTTGCATAATTTTTTTTATTTTCTAGTTTCACAAAATATAATTATTTTATATTGAATAAAAATTTCCAAAATTATGTATGCATTGTAGATATTATTATTTTATATTGGACAAAAATTTTCAAAATAATTACAACATTTCCTCATTTAGTAAGGACCTACTACTACTTTTTATTTCTCTCTCCTACCAACCCCACTTTCACTACTTTTTTTTTTTATTATTATTATTTACTCAATATCTCACCTTTTTTTTTTTTTTTTTTTTTTAATTACGGAGTATTTTTCAATATTTCAGGTATCCCAGTCACACATTTATTTTACTCTATTCAGCTCGTCTTTTTAAAATTATGTAGATGTCACACTGATGCACTTAAAAGAGTGGTATAATTAATGGTGAAGAGTACAAGGTTAGTTGTACAGAGACAACTATCTTGCAACTTGAGTGTTTATATATATGTACATATTCATAAAGTTCAAGATAATTTATCTCTTCAATCTCATTTTAAAATTTCAACCCCTTAACCTTTCAAAAAACCAAACAAAGTTAAGATGGAAGGACAACCTAAACAGAGTGTTCTTCAGGAAAACCTACCCTCTTACATGATTAAAAAGTTAACAGACAAGGTAACCCCATTACATGAAGCTGCTAATCGTGATATACGATTACAAGATGCTGCACTCGAAGGAGAAGTAACTTTGTTGAACGATTTGCTCCTAGAAGATCCACACATCCTAGATCGCAACCGGTACATGGCTCAAAATGGTTGCTCTCCATTACATGTATCCGCAAAAGCTGGTCACCTAGGATTTGTGCAAATGATTCTACAACACAAGCCAGATTTAGCAGAAGAGCTTGATCAATCAAAACGATGGTCACCACTACACATGGCCTCGGCAAAAGGGCACTTGGAGATAGTCAATGTGTTGTTAGAAGCAAATCCTAAAATGTGTTTTGCTCGGGATATTGATGGTAGGAACGCAGTCCATATTTCCGCCATATATGGACATACTGGTGTTCTTGCAGTGCTTCTTCGGGCGAAGCCACAGACAGCTTTGGAGCTGACTAATGCCGGCGAAACTGTTTTTCACTTGTGTGTGAAACACAATCGGCCAGAGGCTCTTCAGTTTTTGATAGCTTTCACAGATAATGATAAACTGCTCAACTCCAAGGACAGTGGTGACAATACCGTCTTACACTTAGCAGTGGCTGCTAAACAACATGGGGTACTCATAAATTCTTTCTACTTCATTCTTCCTGTTTATCATTGCATCATTTTATTTTTACAATTTCCGGACACAGTTATTTTACTATAAATACTACCTCCGTTTCTGAAAATTCGACTCACTTTGCAATTGTGCGGTCTCCAATGAACATTTTTGACCATGAATAACTCGAGTTGTGTATAAGTAAAAATTATAAAAAGTTGATATTTGGATTATTTATAATAAGGGGAATCTAATAAAGTCTCACATGCTAATTCATTTATATTGTATAGCTCATAAAATGTGGTTAAAGTTATTTTATTTTATATGAATAGTAAGTGAGTCGAACTTTCAGGATCGGAGGTACTATAAGTTGAAGTAAACATTGTGATCGAGATGAATCTAACAAAATTTTCTAAGTGTTTAAATAAATAATAAAAAAAAAAAAAAGAAACAAGAAACATACGGTTGTGAAATATGTGCTTTCAAACAATTATCAGTTTATTTAAAAATTATTTACTTAAGGTTATTATGACCATTGTTAAAGCAAAATAATGTTGAAAAGCATGTACTCCAAGTGTTTCCGTTTAATGAATCTAGTATTCTAGTTTGACCATGCAGATCTATTAATACATACACATATTTGACTCTTAACGTTCTAATTACATATTATTAAAATATGACACTCTTACATCAATTGTTGAGAGTAGGGATGACAAGGAGTTCTAGAGCCGATCCTAGATTTGGATCCAAAAATTTAAGACCCAATGAATCTAGGTCATCAAATCGGTCTATTTGCTCTTAGTTAGGTATAATAATTACAATTACAACCCCAGATCCGATCTATAAATTAAAAAAAAATATATATATGGTTTCCACCTAACCCGATCTAGCTTGATATGTAAAAATATACAAAGGATGAAAATTTGAAAATTGAAGATTATAATCATGTCAACAACCTTTATGACCCATTTCAAACTTTATACTTAATGGATCTAAATGTAGGTTTAATTTTTCTAGACCGAACAAATTTAGGTTCGGATCCACCTCCTAAGATATAGGTCTTCACCCAAATCTTATTAGACCCAAACTGGATTCAACACATTGGCATCCATAATTGAGACTAATCCAACAAGGTTCCACATGCCTAT